TAAGAATATATTTAGCTTTATAAGAAACTGCAGAACCATCTTTCAAAGGGGCTGCAACGTTTTGCATTCGTGCCGGCGATGAGTGAGAATTTCCTGTTGCTTTATAGTCTCGCCAGTGTTTGGTGTTGTTTGTGCTGTGGATCTGAGCCAGGCTAATGGGTGTGTAGTAGTATCTTATTGTTTTACTGTGCAGTTCCTTAAGGACATACGATGTTGAGCATCTTTTCCTGTGCTTTCCTGCCATCCGTGTGTCTTCCTTGGTGATGCATCGGTTCAGATCTTTTGCCCATTTTTTAATTCGGTCGTTTATTCTTATTGAGTTGTAAGAGTCCTTTATATATTTTGGATACAAATCCTTTATCACATGTGTTTTGCAAATATTTTCTCCCAGTCTGTGGCTTGTCTTTTCATCCTCTTAAGACATCTGAGTTTTCAGAGGAGGGAACTGAGGCCCCCAAAACTGTGTGATTTGCTACAAATTTCATGACTAGTCAATGGCGGAACCAGAACTGGAACCCAGAGTGCCTGATTTCTCCGTGCTATGTGGCCTCCGCTGGAGCAAAACCTCCCAATGGCTGGTTGGAGTACCGAGTGTTAGATTTTTCTCTGTCTTTAAAGGTTTGCCCTTGTTTTCACCATCCCTGTTTAGGGCAGAAGAGAGGAAAGTCTGAAAGTGGATGAGCATCTGGCCAAAAAAGATGCCCAGGTCGGTAACACAGCAAAGAAAACATCTCCTTTAACGAGTTCCTCTCGCGATTACCCGTGCATTTCTGTGGAAAGGGGGAAAGATGCCACCAACGGGGCTGTCCTCTCCTTTCCTGTCTCAAGGAGGAGGCTGAGGCTGGGATTGGAATCACCCGGTCCCAGCTCTCTGCCTTCCCCAGGTGTGAGCTCCTGCCAGCCCGACTTCCCGATTTCTGCTGAAAGTGAGAGGCTTAGATTATCTCACTGACCCCTAAAAATAAAGCGAAGCTCCCACTCTTCTCATTCCACCTCTGAAAAAGAGAGAAAGAATTGCGTCTGTAGTAACATTTAATTCTTCCTCCCCTCGTCAATAGATCCTCTATAACGCCGGTGAGAACAGGTGGGGCACAGACGAAGATAAATTCACTGAGATCCTGTGTTTGCGGAGCTTCCCTCAGCTGAAACTAAGTATGGACTCGCATTACCGTCCTGCACGCTCCGTGTGGCTCTTACAAATGCGTTCGGGTTTAGTTTACAAAGTTCTAGAAGATGGAGTTAAAAATTGCAAAGTCTGTTCCAATTTACGTATGAGCACCTCAGGAAACAGAATGGGGAGGCTGGATTCTAGCTCAAGGCAGTGCTGATCCTGCTCTTGCTTTCCCGTAGAGGCTGAGCAGATTAGCTAGTGAGTAACAGGTGCAAGAGGGAGAGACCCGGCGGGTAGGAGTAAAGTGGCAGCCCTGAAGGGTGAGAGCAGAAAGGCGTGCTCCTGCGGGTGGAAGAACCTGACAGCATTGTCTCCACCCCACCTATCACCTCTCCCCAGTTAGCCACTTTCTAGAAAAGCCAGGCACTGCAGGTGAGCGTCTGTTGGTGCCTTCATACTGGTCAACATTTAGCTCCTTCTGACGTGAAGGTAAGTGGGGGGTGGGAGGATCAGCTCTTGTCGTCAGACCAGCCATTACATGGAACTGCCGAGCACCCACCGTCTCACTATCTCCCCGAGCTGT